CGCATCTTTCATAGTTTCAGAGTTATTATATAAATAAGGCAATTTTTTTTGAATAATAAAAAAAACGTTTTCAACTTTTACCGTACATTATTAAAAAAATACGCATTCTAAACCGGTCTAACTTCAGGATCGTATGGAAAACACTAAAACAAAACTAATTATGAAGGATCTACGATTAATTTTAATTCTGATGGAAATGGTACAGCGTTTACTGCTCATTTTTCCTAAAAAAATATGAGCAACCCATCTGTTTTTGACGATAACTCCGTCAATTTTGCTCTAATTAACTTTTATAAGTGCTCATTTTGAAGGTCTTTTTGAGTACTACAAAAAACTCCAGGAGCGTTATACACTAAAATCCTTTTTCCGTTATTTGACGTTAAATACATCGATTCGAATATTCCCCCCAAAACAAAGTTCCCTTCCACTAACCATATTTCGCTTTGTATAGGACATACAACACTTTTTAAAAAAATGATTTTCTTTGTTTATTTATAAGCTACATTTTTGTTCATTACACTTTTTTTAATAAAATGCGTAGTTTTTGAGTTATGCTTAATCTGTTTACTTCGTACCTATCTAACAAGCAACAGTATGTAAGTCTGAATGGAATTGAGTCTGACTTACTGCAAGTTGAGAACGGAGTTCCCCAGGGTTCTGTTCTGGGACCCATTTTGTTTCTCTTATATATTAATGACTTACCTTACTCCGTAGGTGATGCCTTTTGTATTATGTTTGCGGATGACACTGCATTAATTACAAGGGACGACGATTTCAGTTTAAGCAGTCTACAACTTTCTAAAAATTGGTTTTCTTCAAATAAATTAAAACTGAATGAATCCAAAATCCAAAATATCTTATTTAGTACCGACAAGAGGGTTACAAAATCAGAAGTTAAAGTTCTTGGGTTGGTTCTTGACTCCAGATTGGAATGGTCGTCTCAGATAGATCATATTATTGCTTCTAAGCTGTCGTCACAAATATTCTGTATGAGACAATTGAGGCGGTCGCTTCCTTCTAATGTATTGCGCACGGTGTATTTTGCAATTATACACAGAATAAGTTATTTGTTTTGCAAAAGGCTGCTGTTCGCATTATTGAGGGTGCCCCCTATGGTTCATTTATATATTCCAGTCGTTACTCCACATACACCGTGGGTTGGACAAAATTCAACAACATTCTAACATACATTCCTATAACACCAGATATGCCGATACTTTGATTGAACCCTTCTCTAGGATACGCACAACAAAAATTAATAAGTTATATGTTAAGTTATACAATCACTTCGACAAATGTTTTAAAAATGTAAATGTTGCTAATTTAAGTTTTAGTCAATTTTATAAGTTGAGTAAAAGCCTTCTATTGGACAAATGCTTTTATAGTGTGCAAGATTATTTTAACTGGTCGAACACAAACCATTAATATGTCAGTGACTTCAAATGTACTTTTATTGTACGTAATATAGTCGTTAAATAAAGAGTAAAGAGTAAAGAGTAAAGAGTAAAGAGTAAAGAGTAAAGAGTAAAGAGTAAAGAGTATTCGCGAAAAATACTTTGAAAAAGTGTTTTTTTTTTACTCAAAATTCCAAGTTTTCAATCGTGAATAACTAAAAAACTATTGATTTCTCGAAAAAATTCTTCGAATATTTTTTGCTCAAAGTTTGATTCTCCATCGATTTCCAGCATTATTTAAAAAAAAAAAATCCGCCCCCAAGAAGTGGTGTCAACCCCCAACAGGGTGTAAGCGTCAATCAGCGCTATGTCATTAATGTTCATTGAACTTTTCTCTAACTATCTGCCAAATTTCAAGTCGATCGGTTCAGTTTCAAATAATTCGGAGGTGAAAAGCTTCAGTGACTGTACTACTTCAACAACTTTATTGGCCAATAAAGTTGTTGATCTTATTTATAACAATCAAACGGCATGGTGGATGAAAGAGCTCCTCTGTAGCAGAAAGTTATGTTAAGGAGTCTATATCTAACAAACTTGATATTGCAAGGAAAATCCAAGGAAAATATAGCTGTTCCTTACAAGAAGAGACATCCGTAACATCCGTGCAAATTCTTCACAAACTTCGGCAGATGTTATATGCGTTCCGAAAATGATGGCAACAATGCTTTAAGGGTTGTTACTTGTTATTAACGGAAAGGAAGTTAAATGTGATAGAACAAAAAACGAAATGTATGTCACTATAAATGTAAATGTTAATATTAACAAGTAAATAAATTAAATTTGATTTATTATGGGTTTATTATTTTTTCATAAATAAAGGCAAATCGATTTATTTTCACCTCGACAATATGTGGTAGAATTTTGTACAGACCTTTCGGGGACACCCTGTATATTATACAACAAGAGATCACGTGGACTAAACAATTAAAGGTAACCTGACAGCAATAACAAATCAGCACGGCTGGCATGGCTTCCTTGACATTCGATTTCAACGATTTAACTTCGAAATGTCTGGTTTGGTTTTTAATTTCATTCGCAAAGTGTAAAATTTTCTTACGTTACTAAAATACAAAATCGTATTATGAATATTATAATAATGAACCAGTGGATAAAATATTTCATTACATCATCGTTAATTTACAAACACCTTTCCTGTAGGTATCGACTACGAAATATTGCTTCCGTGAACTGTCGATTTGGTGAACCGTTTCCCGACATGCTTTTCGTTGAACTGCACGCAAGTCACGACTCGCAGACTTATAAAATCGAAGCGAAACTGCATAACTTTATAAAAATGGACGTATCAAGCTTCCCAGAAGTTTAAAACAATATAAATCTATAATAATAAGAAACGATTTGCATAACTATACTTTAATAGCTCCATTTGTGAAAAATGCTACACAAATACACCGTGTCCACTGTCCACCTAGTGCGCGTAAGTCCAATATCTAGGTTAAGAAAAGACATAACTTAATTTTTTTTCGAAAGAGTTGCCTCCTTTCCCAAACTGCACAAAATGAAAATATATTTGCATATACAGGGTGTTCAGTTTTTCCTGGTCAGGTACCAGCTTAATGTTTTTAAATGGAAACCTATATTTTTTATGGCATTATCGAATTCTACGTGAAAAATTAACGGGACTTTGTGTTATGATCCCTATTAAAATATTGATAGTTTTCGAGATAATCGCCTTTTCATTTTTTTTCTTATGTTTTGTCACTTCCGACATAATTATGATTGTATGACAGCTAAATTTTTTTTTTTCAGGAACTGTAGAGTGAAGATGGCTCTTTCAAAAAAAGTATCAAAAGTTGACCTACGATATACAGGGGGCTAAAAAAAATCGTGCCAAACCTGATAATTTAAAATTTGAAAAATCTCGACTTTTTCAAATAGAACACCCTGTGTTTGATTTCATTAGATGCGTTTCTGTATACTCTACAATTTTTTAATAGCTTTTCTTATATCTAAGTTACGTAGTTTTTGCAAAAAAAACCGGATTTGTGCCCGTTCCTTTGTTGGGAAAAATATTATAAGGGCATGTTAACTGATAGCAAACATTTCCCATATTTTGCTAATTCTTAATCACTTGTAGCGATTTTATGGTTTTTTCATTTTATTTACAAATAAATGGTAATTTTCCATAAAGACTTATTTATTAAACTCAAATATCTAAATTTTTCAGTTATTAATTTTTGTTTTATATAGTGTACCTAGAGAACTAATAAATTTGATAAAAATAAATACCCTTACAATATTTTTCCCGACAAAGAAACGGGCGCAAATCTGGTATTTTACATAAAAATGGGTTTTTTGCAAAAACTACGCAACCTAGGTATAGGGAAAGCTATGAACTTTACTTTATGAAATCATAAAACACAGGGTGTCCTATTTGAAAAAGTCGAGATTTTTCAAATTTTAAATTATCAGGTTTGTCACGATTTTTTTTTACCCCTGTATATCGCAGCTCAACTTTTGATACGTTTTTTTAAAGAGCCATCTTCACTCTACAGTTCCTGAAAAAAAAATTATTTCTAGCTGTCATACAATCATAATTATGTCAACTACTAGAAGTGATGAACAGAGAGCGGACAATTTGTGACTTTAACCTTGAACATAGATATGTCATTCATAGACCTAGATACATTACCCATGACGCAGTGGCGTGTCGAGGATGCATCGGAAATTTACGTGATAATTCACGAAAATTCCACGGTACATACATTTTTAGGCGTTATAAAATATTTAGAAAATCAGAAATTGTATACTACATATTTATTAAATAAAGTTCGGTTAAAAATAGTGTCGTTCTTTTAATTGGAAATTAGGAGTCAATGTAACGAATAACCTCAGGCGACGCACATGATAGAATAGTCCAACCCACGCTTCATTCATAACAGGGCTGCAGTTTGAATTCTGACCAATAGGAATTCGATAAACGCAACCGATGTCGACAGATGGACTAGAGATGGGCGCGAGTGTCATTTCATTTCTTTAGAACTAAATTAACTTAATTATTTTCTCGTTATTTAACCTGTTCACATGATTTATGGATTTTAAATAAAGGGTACAAATCTTCGCGAGGATAATACGATATATTTGCTATACATAATAATTATATTTTGCATAGTTTATAGCATACACAATACATTTTTGAAAGCGTACACATCTCTACCAAAATTTGACCTATTCTTCGGGTTAAAGACACACATTGTCCGCTCTCTAGTGATGAAACATAAGAAAAGAAAATGAAAAGTCGATTATCTCGAAAACTATCAATATTTTAATAGGGATCATAACACAAAGTTCCGTTAATTTTTCACGTAGAATTCGATAATGCCATAAAAATATAGGTTTCCATTTAAAAAAAATTAAGTTGGTACCTGCCCAGGAAAAACTGAACACCCTGTATATGCATATATATTTTCATTTTGTGCAGCTCAGGAAAGTAGGCAACTAGAAAAAAAAATAAGTAATATATTTTATTAACCTAGATATTGGACTTACGAGCACTAGGTGGACACGGTGTATATATACAGGGTGTACTGGAATATTTTAATAAATTTTATTTCTCTCGTTTTGGTCACATAATTTTACATACAAGTAATATACAACAGTTAATTTACTTAATCTTAAAAATTACCTATTTATTTTATGTACTAGGCTGTACTATTAAAAGAAATTAGCAATAAAAATGCCTCCCGTACAAACAAGGAAAGCTGTGGTAAAATGTTCCAATCTAACAGATTTCCCTCCGGGTGGATTTAGTTCGCCGTCTCTGCTAAAGTCCCTACCGAATATACCAAAAGTCAGGAGTCTATTCTGAGCTCTAGTTAAGGAAATGCTCCTTCTAGTCACGTTATCGTAGACTTCTCGACTCCACTCGGTATATTGTGGCGATACAGGACGTATCGAAGCTAGGAGGGAGTTGGGAAACTGTATTCTGTTCTCGTCGGTGGTAAAATCGGCTGTAATGGTGATGCTTTCGAAAGTTATCGGCCATACTATTTCGGAGTAGTTGGAGAATCTGAAAAATATCCAATTATTAAGGTCCACAGAGCGATGTGATCACTGTCTTTGCTTGTTTCTCAGCTACGTTATCGGTGTCACTGATGACGAGCGTTTTAACAAATAGTCCAACCAAATTACACTTGGAGAAAAAAAAAATTGTTACCTGGACTTTTATAAGTGGAAATGGTAAAAGGGCTTATAATAAACCTAAAAAAAAATAAATGCGTGAGCAGGGGCGGCGGAGAGTTGATTTGGGGGGTTGAAAATTTTATAAAAAATTGTATCATTGTGATTTCTGGCTAAAGTTGACGTCAAGCAAAAAAGTATCCAATACAAAAGATGTAGATCATGCAAAAATCTACAACTTTTGTAGAGGTCAGTTTTTAACATAATCTCAAAATTTCCGAGAAAAATGCGAAAAACAGTTTTTTTCAGATTTTTTCGTTTTTTATTTCTCATTTTCGCAAAAATAATTTAATTTTGACGAAACTTAGTGAAAGTATACCTTTCTCTGTCTTAAATAACCTCAATTTTTTTTAGATAAAAAAATCAAGATGTTTCTGAGATATTCATTTTTTCGGCCTGAAACACTTTTTTTCAAAGAAAAATTCTACTTAAAAAAATCATCGTACAGAGTTCTGCCGGTAATCATTTTTTTCGTTTTGACATATACTTTTTGGTGAAATAAAATCTGTAATAACATTTCAAAAACATGCTCAAAAATGCAAAAAAATAAAAAATGACTTGCAACAATGAATTTTTCAGTTATTGTTGATAATTTGTTTAAATTAAAAAACATTCAAAAACTGATTACGCCATTCAATCCTACGGAAAAAATTAAAAAAAACTGTGTCTCATTGTTTGACCCAAAACTTTATTTTTGTACAGTATTGCTATAAACATCTAAGTCGAATTACAAATGCACAAATGATAAATTATCTCTGGATGATTTGAGATTTCAGCAATACAAAGTATTAACTGCAAAGTCTACTGTTGACGCGAAATCCGAAAACCCGAAATTTTGCAAAATCTTTTTTTTTTCTGGCTTTATTTGAAAACGAATTTTAAATAAATTGCATATTTACATTGCCACTTTTTTCGCTCTATCCAATGGCGTCAACATTTTTGCAATCCGACGTTTCGTCTTCGAGGGGCCATCATCAGATTAATTTTTTTAAATATATCGCTGCTATTTTTATGACAAAATCTAGTCATTTTTAATTCTGTATTAGATGATATTACTATTGTAATCGCTTAAAAAGGTTTTTAGCTATCATTAAAAATTTTTCCTGAGTACGGCTCTGAACGCTTTCAAAATACCTGTATCTATTGGAGGAGAGAGAGAGAGGGGGGGGAGAAGAGAATAAAAGTCAATACAGCACAAAATATCCAACAATTTTTTTTAATCCATAATTTAAAAAGTACCTAATAAAAAAATAATACGAATTTATGAAATATTTTATTATTTCTAATTAGTATTGCTAACAGTAATAAAAAATAGATATTTTGTGCGGTATTGACTTTTATACTGTTATGACTTCATCCAATAGATATTTTGAAAGCGTTCAGAGCGATTACAATAGTAATATCCTCTAATTCAAAATTAAAAATGACTAGATTTTGTCATAAAAATAGCAGCGACGTATTTAAAAAAATTAACCCGATGATGGCCCCTCGAAGACGAAACGTCGGATTCCAAAAATGTTGAAGCCATTGTATAGAGCGCAAAAAGCAGCATTGTAAATATGTAGTTTATTTTAAAATTCGATTTCAAATAAAGCCAGAAAAAATTAAACAATTTAGCAAAACTTCGGGTTTTTCCGGATAACTCCGGAACTACCCAGAATTTTAAAACTTTCTAAACAGCATATTGCTAGGTATAAAAAAACACAACTTTTTTCTAATCTGAGCCACCCCGTATCTTCTACCGTTTCCTAGATCCTAATGCTTTCCCATCCTTATCTTGGACACACTGTATATCTATGAACTCATCAAACTTTAAAAAAATAAGTACACTAATCGATCCTACGGAAAAAAAATATTATTTATTTTATTTATTTACTATTCGACTTATGTTTATAGCAATACTGTATAAAAATAGTTTTGGGTCAAACAATGAGAGTTTTTTTGTATTTTTTCCGTACAATTGAATGGTGTAATCAGTTTTTGATTTTTTTTTACTTTAAACTAATTATCAACAATTACTGAAAAATTCATTGCTGCAAGTCATTTTTTACTTTTTTGCATTTTTGAGCTGTGATTACAATTTTTTTTATTTTGCCAAAAAGTATGTCAAAACGAAAAAAATGATTACTTAGCGGTAGAATTCTGTACGCTGATTTTTTTAAGTAGAATTGTTCTTTGCAAAAAAAGTGTTTCAGGCCAAAAAAAATGAATATCAGAAACATCTTGATTTTTTTATCTAAAAAAATTTGAGGTTATTTAAGACAGAGAAAGGTATACTTTCACTAAGTTTCGTCAAAATTAAATTATTTTTGCGGAAATGAGAAATAAAAAACGAAAAATCAGAAAAAAACCTGTTTTTAAAAAAAAATTTTGAAGTTATGTTAAAAAGTGACTTCTACAAAAGTTGTAGATTTTTGCATGATCTACCACTTTTGCAATTGATACTTTTATTGTTTGACGTCAACTTTAGCCAAAAATCCCAATGATACAATTTTTCATAACTTTACAACCCCCCAAACCAACCCTAGGCCGCCCCTGCTCACGCATTTATTTTTTTTTTTTTTCATTTATTATAAGCCCCTTTACCATTTCCACTTATAAAAGTCCAGGTAACAATTTTATTTTTTTCCCTCTAAATGAGTTATTTCGCTAGTTATAAGTGAATTTGGTCTATATGGGAATATTGTACTTGATTTACTATTTTCAATATAGTCCGCTTATCATTTAAAATTTACCTGTGACCACAGGACGTGATGGAGTCATTGAGGCAGGCCAGGACTCCGCAGGATTCTATCCCTCCGTCTCTCACCCCGGAATAACTTCTTATACCGTCAAAAGCAGTGAGGTGGTAGGTGTATTGATTTCCCGACGTATTAGCGACAGTTTCGTTGACGGAAATCGTTATGTTGAATTCACAACAAAGCCTTATGTTGTCCCCATTGCAAACTTCCTCGACTACGGTGGTTCTGTTGGTGTCTAGCACCAGGGAAGTGTATTCTACAAAATCGAGCAATCTTAAAGCTAATAGGAATGGAAGCCTTAATGGTAGTTTATAAAAATCATATACAGGGTGTAACGAATGCTGATGGCCAAACTTCAGGGGATACAAGTAATTTTCAACAAAAAAGTGTTATAAGACTTTTTTGGAAAGTTGATAGTTGTTCTTTTATTTAACATTTATTTATTTCAAAAAATTTTGTGCCTTTTCATAAAAAAACAAAAATACCTCTGTTATTCTTACAGCCACATCAAATTTAGACATACCATCGGAAAGAGCGTTAAATTTACTACAAGACGAGCATACATATGAGCATACATATGAGTGTTTAAAAAATCTTTTAAACCAGGTGCCATAAAAAGTTAAATGTAATAATTGTGAAATGAGCAAAATTAGTGGTAACACCAAAAATTTGTTAATGAGGACGTATTTTTTCTTCAGTAAAAACTACTGTATTTAGTGAGCTTTTCAACGATATATCAACTTTTGCGTTTGCTATTTTTTCTGGCAACAATATCAAGTTCAAAGGTAATAAAACCGTAAAAATCGGAAATACACAAACTTTATAGTACTTTATTTTTATTTTAATACTGTTTTTAGCACGCCTTTAAAATTTGGCTAAAGTTATCATTAACACCCTGTATATTTATAAACATGTAAAAATATCAGGATTAAGATTAAGACCTTGAGATTAGGATAAAGTTGTTCTTACCGCCAATAGAGGGATCTGTTATCAGGTAAAGGCTGTCCATATCCAGGGCAATCGAGTCTGTGTCCTCTTCTATGGGCGTGACGTTCCTGTAAGGGTTGTTTTCCACCTCTGGTCTAGGCACGCTTCTTACTATGATGCTGGAACCACCTGTTCCGCCGATTAGTTCTTGCACCAGGGGCCCGTCTTTACCTGAAGAACTGTATCTTCAAAAATCGTTAAAATTTGCCGGTAACAATGACATACCCACGTAAATTCCGGTACCACCACTCCCAATCTGCGGGTTGTTGGCACCAGCTGACAAGAAGTTTACGTCGTTCTCTTGGGCCCACATTTGTTGGGTTTGCAGAGCTAAAGATGCATAAATTTTAGTAAAATGACACAAAAATGAATGGCCAACAAATAACCCCGATCTGCATCCACCAGGCAGATATTAATTTTACCTGTTAAGAAGGGCAGTTCAGAAAACCACATGGTAGGGAACAGAATGTTCTTCAATCCGAGATCTCGGGTTAAGTTGAGAGGAGGCTGGGCGAACAGTATGTCGAAACAAGTGAACATCCCGAAGGTGTTGTTGTTTTTAGTGGTGATGGACACTAGCTCGACTTCAGCAGGCGGACTTTTTCCGTATTCTCCGAAAAGATTCCACTTGTGGTACCTGAAAGTTGGATCGTTGGTGATTCAATCCGTCCAGAATTAGAGTGCAAGGCGTTATTACCTTCCGATCACCCCGCCACTGCTGTTGAAGGCGACGTCCGAGTTGTAGTATATTATTCCGGAGCTTGGACAGAATCCGGTGGCGTTGTTGCTCGTGCAGTTTTCTCTTTCTATAATGTTGACTACTACGGTGGTGTTATAGTCAATAGCGGCGCAGGAGAACCTCTTGAGGTAGTTCTTGTATGTGGTGTCGGTTGAATTGCATATTACCTCCGTGAAAGGTAGAGGTACTTCGGTGGCGGCCGCTGTACTTCCCCCCAGAGTGGACTCTGGGAAAAGAACGAGTTCCAGGTCCTAAGGGAGAGTCAGTAGGGATAAAGGTAACGGAAAAACTCCATCCTACTTACCTCTTGAGTAGTACTCAGCAACGTTATATATTCTTGGGCATTCAAGTCTACGCTGTCCTCCTCGCTGAGGGTGGTATCCCTTAGTGGTTTGTATTCGACAACGGCCACGGTGTAGAGGAAATCTGTCAACTGACAACATATAATTGAATACATTATTCATTAGTTATTAATATCCTACTTACTGTATCGTTAGCAGCTAGAACATCTCGTAACAAAACGGTGAACAGCACGAGAAACGCCCCCCGCATTGTGGTTGAGTTTTTAAAATAAGAATGTATACGGTGCAAAGTTGGTGATGGCCCTGAAACGGAACCTTGCGGTACGCTTTCGTATGCTTAGTTTTGTTTTACAGTTTTTCTACTTAAACAGTGTATTTCTATTTCTCACAACTGATAAATTCTAAAATCAATTACAGACATTATATTTGTGAATGATTAAATGTTTTCACTTGCTTTGTTCGCGCTGTTATAGTTGAATAACCTGTTTGTGAGCGCGGTCTAGATTACTGAAAGCTTCACAGGTGGAGATAACTATTTTAATGAAATTTGCGCTCGTGTTTTTAATAACAACATCGACAAGAACAATATAAAATGATCCTCCAGTTGATCACCTAGGTTATTTTTATCAGGTTCATGAGTCTCGTCTTTCGTTATCACTTACACTTATTAAACGTGTTGTTACCATGGAAACACATTGTCGTAACTTAAGGGACGGGCGGTGTTAAGGTCAACAAAGCGTAGTTTTTGCGAAGCACATTCGATTTTGACGAAAATTTTTAATTACTAGGCATTAATTTAAGCATAAAAAAAGGCAGGATGTTCACTTGTTTTACCTTTTGCAACTGTCTTTGTTGTCCGCGCCAACGCCAACTTGATTCGTCTTTTCTGTCTACCTGTTTGTTGCGCTAATGCGTGAATAGAATCTTAAATTTTACGAATCTTTTTATAAGCGAGACGCATAACAGTAAAAATCGCGTGATGGAGGCAAAGTTAGTCGAGATTAGATTTAGCAGAAATACAGGCTGTAACGTCAATACGGATTAATATTCATCCAATCAAATATTTGTAGGTGTATGTATGGTTTGCCTCGGTCAAAGGTCGAATGTGTTTACCTTACGGAAGAATTCGCAAAATTGTAACACGTAATAAAGAATTATTGAAGGTGAAGGTGTCAAATATCTCCAAAATTGTACATTTTAAGAATAGCGAGAGCAAGAGAGCGCTATTAAATAAATTTATAAGCGAAGAAATTTCCATAAAAAATAAATATACTTAAAGATATCACACTTTGAATGATCGAAGATTTGAATCATCAGGGAGTTATACAACCAACAATATACCTATACATACAATTTCTCAAGTATAATTGTAAAACACGAAATATAAATGATAATATGTGTAATTTTAATAAATATGTCAACGATAGATGGCAGAGGATGGTAAGCTGGCGTCAGATGCACATTTATCTCCTTTCTTATTGGCTGCAAAACAGGCCTTTTATTAAAGAACCAATAACGAGATTATACACCGAAAACAAGGGCTGGAAGCTTACGTTTGTACCCGACTTAGCTTCACGTTGGGCGCCATGTCGCAGATTTAGATAGGTTGTTGGCAAACAAGTCTTTTATTTAAGAACCAAGAACAAGGTCATACACCAAAAACAAGAACTGGAAGCCTACGTTTGTATCCGGCTTACCCCACGTTGGGCGCCATGTCGCGAATTTGGATAAGTTGAAGGCTCTGGTTGCGGATTTTGATTGGTCTGACTAGCTTGCGGTGGAATTGACATACATACCATCATTTCCCCTCAGCATGTTGAGCGGACGGAGCGTTTCTGTCTGGTTCCGTTTTTACCTATTGTGCGTCTCCTCTTTAAAGTTAACCACGTCAGGTAAAGACGCGGAGACTTTCGCTCTTCCTCCATTGATGAGATTTGGTTCTGCTTTGGGTTAATGATCTACGCTCTAATTGTTTTGGTTGACCTAAGACGCGCTTTAGGCACTTGCACTCTGTCTTAAGGTGACCATATCTCTGGCCGAGAAAAAGAGAAATTTCTGGCGTTTTTTAGGTACTGAAATCTTAAGAAGTAAAACGTGTAGAACAAAAGTAAGCACAAAAATAAAATCCTTGATGTTCTGTTTATTCATTGTTACCACTTAAATTTACTCAAATAAAATAATAACTAAAAAAAGCGTTTGTAATACATGCGTTTGCTGTTATCCTAACCCCACATTTTAAGAATTATTTTCAGGTACTTATAAATAAAAGTAAATAATTTTATATGTAGGACTAAGCAAGTAAATATTATAAGAATATTTACATGTGGAGTCATGTATAAAAAACTTAGTATTGTCGTAGATTTCAGTACCTAAAGGTTTGATCGTTTTCTTGCACCTGTTTATTCGTTTTACTGCGGCGTCTTTGAAAGTACTCAGGTGGCAAGACATAAACATTCCTATCATTTAATAAGCCTTAGATTATTCAGTTATTAAATATTTGAAATTATTTGTCTTTGCGGAAAACACTATTTAAAGAATATGGCGCNGTTTTCAACTCAATATGGTTACCACACTATGTTGGTTCAAGAGTGCAAGAGAGAGCTATTAAATAAATTTATAAGCGAAGAAATTTCCATGAAGAATAAATATACTTAAAGATATCACACTTTGAATGATCGAAGATTTGAATCATCAGGGAGTTATACAACCAACAATATACCTATACATACAATTTCTCAAGTATAATTGTAAAACACGAAATATAAATGATAATATGTGTAATTTTAATAAATATGGCAACGATAGATGGCAGAGGATGGTAAGCTGGCGTCAGATGCCCATTTATCTCCTTTCTTATTGGCTGCAAAACAGGCCTTTTATTAAAGAACCAATAACGAGATTATACACCGAAAACAAGGGCTGGAAGCTTACGTTTGTATCCGACTTAGCTTCACGTTGGGCGCCATGTCGCAGATTTAGATAGGTTGTTGGCAAACAAGTCTTTTATTTAAGAACCAAGAACAAGGTCATACACCAAAAACAATAACTGGAAGCCTACATTTGTATCCAGCTTAGCCCCACGTTGGATGCCATGTCGCGAATTTGGATAAGTTGAAGGCTCTGGTTGCGGATTTTGATTGGTCTGACTAGCTGACGGTGGAGTTGACATACATACCATCATTTCCCTTCATCAGCATGTTGAGCGGACGGAGCGTTTCTGTCTGGTTCCGTTTTTACCTATTGTACGTTTCCTCTTTAACGTTAACCACGAAAGGTAAAGACACGGATCATCCATTGATTAGATTCGGTTCAGCTTTTGGTTGATGATCCACGCTCTTAATTGTTTTGGTTAACCTAAGACGCGCTTTAGGCACTTGCACTCTGTCTTAAGGTGACCATATCTCTAGCCGAGAAATAGTCAAGTTTCTGGCGTTTTTGGGTACTGAAATCTTGAAAAGTAAAACGTGTAGAACAAAAGTAAGCACAAAAATAGAATCCTTGATGTTCTGTTTATTCATTGTTACCATTTAAATTTACTCAAATAAAATAATAACTAAAAAAAGCGTTTGTAAAACATGCGTTTGCTGTTTTACCCTACATTTTAAGAATTATTTTCAGGTACTTATAAATAAAAGTAAACAATTGTATATGTAGGACTAAGCAAGTAAATAATGTTATAAGAATATTTACATGTGGAGTCATATATAAAAAACTTAGTATTTTCGTAGATTTCAGTACCTAAATGATGGTTTGATCGTTTTCTTGCACCTGTTTATTCATTTTACTGCGGCGTCTTTGAAAGTACTCAGGTGGCAAGACATTCCTATCATTTGACAAGCCTTAGATTATTCAGTTATTAAATATTTGAAATTATTTGTCTTTGCGGAAAACACTATTTAAAGAATATGGCGCCCTTAATGGAAGAGTTTGTATGATTTAAAATATTTGTGTAACGGGTTTTCAACTCAATATGGTTACTACACTATATTGGTTCGAGCACTGGCGGGTCCGCTACCCTAACGTCGGAAAATCACTGTCTATTTGCGCTGGCTAAACGCACTTGAGTTCTATAGAGTACGGCCTCCTTAGAGCACCGGTATGGCAAGCTTTAGGAGCGATGTATGATTGGGAAACAAGAGCTCGACTCGTATATGAATGACAGGTGTATGTGAACGTTGCGCTCAATTTGGTAATTTTTGAGAGAATTATAACTCGAAATGCGGTTTTTTAAGAATTCATGAGCTTTATTGATTTACTTAAGTTGTAGCACAATTTCCGATCGAGTACGTACTCTGGCCAAGCATCCGTGCTCTGGTTATCAAGTTGCGGAAAACCCGAGTTGATGTTCGTACGCTGATTAAGTGGATTCCGCCTGGCGGCCTGCTGCATGGTCCGGTCTAGATCCAGAAAATTTGCAGTTTGAAGAACTGCATCTTTGACGATTACTGGCATCTCTTAGGGGTTGAAAGGCTGAAAATGATTTTGGTTAGTACCGACCCTAAGGTCATTTAGTGGTGCGACTTCTAGGATGTTTTTTATTTTTGCCAATTTTTGGAAACGGTGGTGAAAATTTTGGTGCTCCTTGCGCCTCGGCGACAGATTGGCATACATTGTCGTCTCATCCGGGTGACTTGGCGGGTAAATTTGATTATTTTAGCGGTAATTGCGCTATGCGAGTTTCTCTTGAAGAATTGTTGCAGGTATTAGAAACAGGCGAAATACTACGATAATATGTTTAATGAAAGAAACGACAAATTACCAAAAAATTTTATTCCAATAATACTTTATATACAAACGTTATATCTCTTACGAATAAATACATACCTTTACGAAAGGCACTTATAATACAAAAAAAAAAGAGCGGCGGCACTAATCCTAACGACTGCTGACGTCCTAAAATAAAAAGCAAGACTCTGAGACGGTAACAATGTAACTCCCATTAAAACTGTTTAAAAATCAATAAAACGGAATGACATCTCCAACGTATCACAGATTTTTTTTTTTGTATAACGATATATATATTTTTTCAATGGAATATGCTAATACTGCGCTTACATAATAATATTAAACAAATGCCTGAAACTAACAAGGAATTATTGCGTTCATACATATACTCGTAGCAGGCGCTTATTAAACTCTTCTATTTGGCAACGACCGACAAAAAAAAACTACATTCACAACTTCGTATACTCGGCTTCTTCAGTCTTTTCTTCCAGAATCGTCGCTTCCCTCAAAGTGCTCCCTTCCGCATCCGGCACATTGTCGTACTTGCTGACCCTGTCCTTGTCCTTCTGGTAGTTCCTCAGGTCGTTGAGTAGGCCGTTGGAGAAGGTCTTTGGCGACGGCACGGCGTCCGGCTTGGTCTCGTCGAAGACGTTCAAGGCGGCCTTGAGGAAACTCGTGAACTTCTCGTTGGAATCGATCACCTTGTTCTGGTAGTTCAGCACGTACGTCCAGATGGAGATCATGTCCGTCCTGGAGACGTTGTGCTGGTGCTCGTGCCGCATCACTCTGATTATGTGCCGCAGGAGGTACACGAAGGTGTCTTTCTTGGGGAGGCCCTCCACCACGCTGGCGATCCTCTGGCGGTTGTTCGGTTCCAAGCACGGGGTGTTATCTGGAACAGGAATAGAGAATTTTTATTCCGATATATCTTTTTAAGGTAATGGTTTATTTCTTCTCACAAGGTGTCGGAATCCGAATTCCAAATACCCTAACTTAACCTAAATATTCGGAAAACGCGGTTTTTCGATATATTTGAGGTTATGTTACACCACAAGGTGATTTTTCTCCACAAAACTCTTTATGGTATCGGAAATTACTACTTTTTTTGCTACAAAATCTGTTTTGAATCGTTCGAATACCTCCGAGAAATCGTTTGTTGAAATTGGTTAGTTCGTCATATTCGTCGATATCATAGCCACACTATAAAAAAAAGTTGTCTGTATTTTTCATGCGACATAGGTTATCCGTAGTATTTTTACCATCACGAATCCGGTGTCAGAATTTCCTAACCTCAAAAAACAGGTCAAAAATAGCAACATTCACGAAAAAGTGCTAGGAAATATGCAAAAATTTTTTTTTTTTCTATAATCAAATGTTCATTTATATGGTTAAGATCTCGCCGAACGTGAATCCGCTGTCAGAATTGATGGTTCTTTTTCTAACCTCAACTCAAAAAAACGGGTCAATTAAGGTCAGATATCACGAATTTTCGAAAAATAACAGATTCGCGCCAAATTTGGTATACGGGGGTTTTCGGTGTCGCTGATCACGGATCTGAGGTCAGAATTGCGAAATTCATTTTGTAATATTTTTGTTTACTTTATAACCTGAGTACCCAATCATGTTTTAACCTTCTTTTTTTCGGCTATATCTTGTTATTTTTTCTGTAAAATATGTATTCACGGGTTTTCTGTCTAGTCTAAGGTGACTAAATTTTTTAAAACGAATTTAGTAAATCTGATCTCGGATTCGTGATCAGTGACCCCGAAAACCCCCCAAAACAAAATTAACCCCAAAAAGGTAATTTTTGAAAAATTAGGCCGCCCCCAACCTGAAATTCGCAAAAATGAACCCCAAATCCGGAATAACCAACCCCAAAACCCCCCTAAAACAAAATTGGCCCCAAACCGGTAATTTTTGAAAAATTTGGCCGCCAACCTAAAACCAACAAGGTGAAATTTGCAAAAATGAACCCCGAACCCGGAACAACCAACCCCAAAAACCCCCGAAAACAAAATAAGCCCCAAATCGGTAATTTTCCAAAAATCCTGAAAACCGAACCTGAACCGACCCCACTGCATTGGCGAAACGAACTCGGAGCGGAGCTGAATCAAACAAAACATGCTGTTATTCCATCCGCCATATTGGATTCGCCATTTTGAATTTTATAACAGACTTCAGATTCATAATCAGGATACTTACAAATGGCTAACGAGTTTTGTGGAGAAAAAATATCTCTGACGTAACATAACCTCAAATATAGCTAAAACCTGTGATTTTCGCACTTTTAGGTTAGGACATCTCGAAAACCCGAGAAGATAAAGCAATGCTGAGGTTAACAAAAAAAATCCTTAGGAAAAGTATAGCTCGTTTTCTAGTTTAAAATGTTGCCGGTCTGCGATATTTTTGCTGTGTTATAAAATGTATGTAATAAATTAACAAAAATACATAATAATTTGATAGATTTGAAATAACTGAAAATTACTTCACAAGTATTTAATAAAAATTGTTCATTACTATTTTTTTTTATTTGATTGAAGGACTTGAGCAGGTCCTGGAAGGAGAAAAGACAGCAATAAATCCAACAGTATTGGTGGAACACTGAGTTGAATTAAATTTTGTCATTGTTAAATGATTAAGAAAATCTCTGAATACGTCGAGATACTTCAAATATTCGAAAATATTTTGAAGTACAGTATAAAATATATGTAATAAATTAACAAAAATACATAATTTGATAGATTTGCAATAACTGAAAATTACTTCACAAGTATTTAATAAAAATTGTTCATTACTATTTTTTTTTGAAGCACTGTGTTTAGTTTATTTCTGACTTACTTGACCTAGATTATGGGATAATCTATATAATACCAATCCACCTGATGTGATATGACAATAGAATTAAAAAAAACAAACTTATGACAATTGTTTCTAAAGATCAAAGGTAACCTCTTTATAAATATGACCCCTACTCAAAGTTGCACTCTTATTTATAATAAAAAAACATATAATATAAAATTATCAAGCAGCTTTATCACATTCTTAGGCTTTTGTATGTTCTATTACACTTGAGTAAGTCAACTAGCTCGTTCGTCTTTGTGATCATTAAAAATATTATGAACGCAATTGGTAACATTTAATTCAGCTTCAATTTCTATTCTTAATAATGCACCGTCGACTCACCACAGAATTTGTTCACTTGTTCGACGCATTCCTGGGTCACCAAGGGCTCGGGGAGGTCCTTGAGGTACTTCTTCAGGGAGTCGGTGAGGTCGTTGGGGTCGAACTTGTGCCTTTCCAGCTCCCCCACCTTCTTCTTCATCATCTTCTTGACGATTTTGTTGACTTTCTCCGAGGAACCCGATCTCTTGTAAAGCCCCTCGGTGTTGATGTTCGCCTCGATGAGCTCTATAGACTTTTTCAGCACCTCGTCCACGTTCAAGCTCGAGTTACTGCCACCTGAAACACCACGCGTTAGTACCACATATCAAAAATTAGACTAGGACGTACTTTTCTTCTGAGACTTGGACGTGTTGCTGTCGACGCTTCTAACGCTTTCTTTGGAGTCATGTCGCTGGATTGGGTTCCTGTTGCTGTCTAAGTAGTCCTGGAAGGAGAAAATTGCGTGAATACAAGCTTTTTTTAGCGGTTTTGCGCGTACTAACGTGAACGTTACGACCAAAGTCGAGCTCTTCGGGGTGGTCGATGTAAAAGGTCAGCAGGGCGTCGAAAGCGCGCGCGGCGTCGGCCGTTTGCGCCATGGGGTCTTTGGTGTGTGCCGTGGGGGTCGGGTCGGCCATGAAGATTATCGTGGGGCCCCAGCAAACCGATAGGTTGTACGTGTCCATCTTGTTCTCCTCCTTGTACTTCACCACTTCGATCAGGTGCTTGATCAGCACGTACAGCGTCTCGGAATTGGCCTCGGGTAGTTTGCTTATGATCTGCCGTATGTGCCCCCTGTCCTTCTTCGAATACTTCTTATCCGATTCTGCGGAAATAATATAAGTAGCGAATGTAAAGACTAATAATTTGGAGGTTATATTACTCACTCGTCGCACTGAGCAGACTATCGCAGACATCGCAAGGGATGAGGGGCTCCTTAAGCTCCCTGAAGAACAGCTTCAGGCATCCCGTCAGCACGTCCACGTCCTTGCAGTACTCGTTGAGGATGCCCAGTCGACCCTTGTCGACTTCGAACCTGATCTTCTGTATGGTCGCCAGGTTGCCTGATGTCCTGTAGATTCCCAGACTGGTTATGTTCTCCGGCCTCTCGATCAGCTCCATCGTCGTTATGATGAATCTCGGGACGCCTTTCTCGGTATTATAAATATTTCTAAGAGTATTTCCGAAGATCGGTTCGTTCTGGTAGATCCCTTTCCTCTCCAACAGCTCCCTGCTCGACCGCTTGCCCAGCAGCCGCAGAAGCGTTTTGGTGATGGTCGATTTGTTGTCGTTTTCGTTGTAGCAACGGATCTTGTCGCTCTCTAGGAACAACTTGGCGTCTTTCGAACTGTCGAAGAAGAGGATGTAGGAGAAGTTGTTGGCGTCCCGTAGGTCCACGTCCTTCCTGTTTAGGAGTCTGGCGCTTTTCAATGTAACATTGGACTTTATTAACTGTAAAAGGAGGAATTCAACGGTCAATATCCCCAGGAAGTCAAAAATCAATGATTGGGGTCAACACTCAGATCATGCTCACCTTTTTGGAACTATCGTCCACCTTGTAGAAGTTACCGTTCTGGAATTTGAGTGTATCCGTCCTCTTTAGCTTGATGGGCGACGTTTCGCTCGATATGAACATCTTCGTCAGTCCCTTTACCTCGAAATCTCTGGAATTGCTAGAAAATATAACGGTCTAATTAGTTAGAAGCAAAGTGCTTGTGCTGGGAAAGAATCACCTTGTCCACTTCCTGCCGAAGTCGAAATCCGTGGTCTTGGAAAACCTGTACGCGTTGATGGTCTGGTTTCGTCGCACCTGGACATCATCTTCTACTTCGTCGTTCTCCGATATCGGGAACTTGGGGTTGTTCGGCTGTTCCGACTTCTCGTTTTTGATTTGATTGAAGGACTTGAGCAGGTCCTGGAACGAGAAAAGACAGCAATAAATCCAACAGTATTGGTGGAACACTGAGTTGAATTGATATTTGTCATTGTTAAATGATTAAGAAAATCTCTGAATACACCGAGATACTTCAAATACTCAAAAATACTTTTAGTAGTCATTGAAGCTGAAAATCAGCTGTAACCTCCGAATTCTTTGAAACCGCATGGATTTGCATGAAAATTTAGGATAAGGCTTATCTTAGGCTCAAGTTCAAGGCCCGATTGATGCTTTTTGTTTTGTCACCGAATCCAAGACTGCATTAAATCTAAGGTAAAATAAATAAAAAATCATCGCAGACAGCGAAATACAGAGACATCGCTGTCATCAATCAATAAAAATAAAAATTTAGATAGTGACACACGCATAATTACGAATCGACTACTGACTCTCGGACCACGGTAAACCAAGTCTCTGACTATTATTTTAGTATCATTTTTTACAAAAAAACAGCAATACTAAGTTCTACGCCTCCCCAGGAGTCTTATTAGCCGCGGCTTCGAAAAAATCGGGTATCAAGAATCTACTAGAAAACGGAGGCGTAGACAGTTTTTTAGGTGAAAAAAAATTGAAAAAATCAAGTTTTAAGCATTTTATTGATAAACATCTTGTTCAAGCACAAAGATCAAATAGTGTCCCATGTTCTCAAACATGTTTATGATATATTTGATCTTTTCGACCCTTTATTTAACCCTTAAAAACTACCCCTATGTAAAAAATTATAATAAAAAATTAATTTTTAAAGATTTGGAAAGATTAAATCGTGCAATTATTTAAACTAAAAGTTACCTTATAGATAATAAAAGAATTTATCCCTTTCAACCCCTAAAAACCACCCCTGTATTGACAAAAATGATAAAAAATTACTTTTTAAAAGATTAGATTGCTTTAACGGTGCAATTATTTAAAATAAAAATTCCCTCATTGCTTATGAAAGAATTTGTATCTCATAACACTTTTCAACCCTTATAGCTCACCCCTGTGCCAAAAAAAAAATGATAAAAAATTACGTTTTAAATCTTGGAATGCTATAACTGTGCAATAATTTAAAATAAAAATTCCCTTATATTGTTTATGAAAGAATATTTTACTTTTGCCATTTTCAACTCTTATAAACTACCCCTTTACCAATATTAATGTAAAATATTTTTATTATAATCAATTTTTAAATTGCTACGCTGCATATAAATAATCACACTAATTTTTTTTTACTTATTTTATTTGTATAATATAATATATAATACATAAAAATGAGAAAGACTATTTTGCTCCGAAAAAATGTCATTGGTTTTTTTACCATAACTAGGTTAATTTTGAAGCTATAAGTATCCTACAAAAAAGCATTTTAAAGATAATGTCAAGATCTGTAAGATCGTTTGCATATAAAACCTTTTAAGTCCTTCGTTTTTTAAAGGGAATGATCGAAGGACTCGAGACAGGTTGTTTTTTCACTAAAATGAATACTTCAAGCGGTGATATCTCCTTTATTTTTTATGCTATAGGAATAAAAAAAGCAAAATATTTGTTGAAAAAAAGCTACATTTTTATTATCTCATTTTATGCGAGTTTCAGAGTTATTATATAAATTTGGCAATTTTTTTTGAATAATGAATAATACGTTTTCAACTATTACCGTACATTATTAAAAAAATACGCATTCTAAACCGGTCTAACTTCAGGATCGTATGAAAAACACTAAAACAAAACTAATTAGCGTTTACTGCTCATTTTTCCTTAAAAAATATGAACAAACTATCTGTTTTTGACGATAACTCCTTCAATTTTGCTCTAATTAACTTTTATAAGCGCTCATTTTGAAGGTCTTTTTGAGTACTGCAAAAAACAACTCCCGGAGCGTTATACACGTAAAATTAATCCTTTTTCCGTTATTTGACGTTGAATACATCGATTCGAGTATTCCCCCCAAAACAAGTCCCATTCCACTAACCATATTTCGCTTTGTATAGGACGTACAACACTTTCTAAAACTTTCTCTGTTTATTTATAAGCTACATTTTTGTTCATTACACTTTTTTTAATAAAATGCGTAGTTTTTGAGTTATTCGCGAAAAATACTTTGAAAAAGTATTTTTTTTCACTCAAAATTCAAAGTTTTCAAACGTGAATAACTAAAAAACTAATGATTTCTCGAAAAAATTCTTCGAATATTTTTTGCTCAAAATGTGATTCTCTATCGATTTCCAGATTTTTGAAAAAAAAAATTCCACCCCGAGAAGGGTGTCAACCCCCAACAGAGTCAGTAATGTTCGTTGACCTTTTCTCTAACTATCTGCCAAATTTCAAGTCGATCGGTTCAATTTCAAAGCATTCGAAGGTGAAAAGCTTCAATGACTACTACTATTTGAAATACACCGAAATACTTCGAAGAATTTGAAATAAAATATTATTGGAATATCTCGGAAGGTGAAAAATTAACGGGTGCATGGTTTGGAAGTTTTGATGGACTGTGGCATATTTCTGTTTTGATACATTTTCATTATAAATGAGGTACCTACATTATCCTTATTCCTTTTTGTATGCGAACAACTGAATAATAATGGAGAGTACTCCAAATTGCGACTAATTTTATCTTAAATTACAGCACTGAACGAAGATCAATCCATTTATTTATCACATTTATCAAATTATTACTCATTAAATATCAATGTAATTGTTTTATATCAGATGAGCAACCTTGAACTGATAAAAAGTACAAAATTAGATATGTCGCGTTAATCAATTGTACGAAAATGTTGCATTTTTCCAATAAAAAATTTAAGCCAGACTTGAGGTCTGCTTTTAATTCGAAAAACGGGAAAGTCTATAGGTGCCAGCAGAGTCTGGCGTAGAGCCCACCAAAAGTTTCCTTAGGACGTTCTTTTTTTGTTGAAAATAAGTTGAGAAATATCGAATTTTACGTCTTATACGGTTGTTAATGACGGCGTTAATTATTTTTTTTTACGCCAGAACGCGTATTGTTCTTAATTAACAGCTTAATTGCCACGGATAGTACACAGCAGATCCATTCGTGCCAAGGACGAATCATGGGAAAGTGTAGAAACGGCGGCCCGATTGCGTTAGCAATAATAATTATTTTAATAACACTTTCACAGGAAATAGGAAGCACGCGCTCTCGGCGCTGATTATTTCGATTTCGGTACGACGAAGCGATGCCAGATTTGTGCTTCCTTGGGCTGATGGACCGTTTTGTATTACGGAAGCGTATCGACAAAGGAGAAAGAACCTCGGTTTGAACGGGGTAATAAGACTAAATATTGCTTCTGGACGCACTCGTCTATGTTCAAAACCGTTGGATCCATATTACCATATCAAATTTCAAACGTCCAAACTGTGGCAATGCGACAACGCAATCCTAAAACACCGAGACTGTCGTCCCCCTTTTCAAACTGGTTACGAAACGCGGCCTAGTCAAACAAAAATGTGTTAATTGCAACCGACGGGTGACAAGTCGACAAATAAAATGTTAGGCGTTCGTCTGTCGTAAATGACGAATTCTTTACGCCGTTGCCCAACTGTGGAAGGCTTGAAAAGGCGCAATACTCCAGTCGAATGAACGTAAAAAAAATTATTAGTGGACATTTTATTGCACTTTATGGTAAAAGTAGAAATAATTAATGTTACGTTTGAAGAATTCGGTAAAAACTCTGAGTAACTGGACTATAAAGGAGGAGGGCCCCTAACCATCTCTTATTAGAGGAATCTAAGAGCTTACAGATGCGAAAGACATTCAATTCCTATGAATCTTACATTTGAAAAGTTTTTTGGGTCGCTGATTACGAATTTGGTCTCAGAATGACGAAATTCAAAATGGCGGATCCGATATGGCGGACAAGAAAATTGAAATGTCTTCAAAATGCATGAATTTTTTTGTAATGGGGTTTTTTGGGTCTATGATTACGAATCTGGACTCTAAATCACGAAATTCAAAATGGCGGATTCAATATGGCGGACAAAAAATTAAAATGTCTTTAAAATGCACGAATTTTTGTGTAGTGGGGTTTTTTGGGTCTCCACGAATCTGAAGGCAGAATTACGAAATTCAAAATGACGTATTCCATATGGCGGACAAAAAAATTAAAAAGATCTTCATAATCCTCAAATATTTGTTTATTGAAACTTTCTTGGATCACTGATTATTACAATTGTGAATTCAGAATCACGAAATTCAAAGTGATAATTATTGATTTTTTCATTTTCGTTTTATTCAATGTAAATGTGTGTCATCTCATTTAAGGGGGTGGAGGCACCGTTTAGGGTGGTAACGATTCAGTGTTGCTAGTAGGTACTAAAAAATTTTTTTTCAGATTTTTTCAGCTAAAAATAAATTAGGTCAAAAACCGACCTTAGGGGCCCTCCTCCATTCATCAACATTCACTGCTTTTTGCAATAATAATGCGTAGTTTTGCGAAACTGATTTTTCCGCGTTCGATCATTATTTTACAATTAACAAATTTATGAAAAATGACTTTAAATATCTTAAATTTTAAATAACACAGGACCACAAAAAAAAATTGACGAAAGGTCTCCTCGGCCAAACGTATCGTATTATATGTTTTTTCGGTCGCTGAAACCGAATCTGCAACTCATTTGGTCCCATTACGTCAGAGTTTTTTTCTAACCTCAAAAAATAGCTGAAAAATGGTAGAATTCAACAAAATCAACCCTGCAACATGTTAAAACCTTATAACTCCACATTCTTATGATCCCGAACGATCTTGACAAGCCGTGAAATGATACAACTCCCAACCGTAAAAATATATAACCTCAAAATTTGATGAGCCCAAAATATGCAGCGAATAAACTTACACATAGGGCACAAACCTTCATTTTTGAATAGTAAACCCTTTTAACCTAAAACCCCGAAACCCCATAACCTGAAAACACGAAAAGGCCTCAATTTGAAACCTCAAAACCCCGAAGCTGAATAACCCTAAAACCCCACAACTTCAAAACCAGGG